ACCCTCCCGGTATCACCACTCTCACCACTGGTACTGAGGGATTCATCTGTCCTGGATTCCCTGTGTTTCTGATTCCTATCTGTATCAGTGTACATCCTCTGGTCTAGCCAGACTTGTAAGGTAGAATTGGGATCATGATAGTGGGGATGAGGAAGCATTTAGGAACTAGAGGAAATTTGTATGTTTCATCGTTGCTATACTGCACCCTGACTGGCTCGTCTCCTCCCCACGACCCTTCCATAAGGGGATGTCCAATTGCCCACAGATGGGCTTTGGGTCTCTACTCTGCACTTCCCCTCATTCACAATGATACGATTTTTTGTTCTGATGATGCCTGATACCTGATCCCATCCCATCTTTGACCACTCTTAGCTCCAACATCACCCACCTAGCATACAGCAATGGCCTCATAAGTGATTGTCTGGTTTCCATTCATGGTCCTGCCTCCACAATCTCTATGACACGAAGAAAGTAAACTGAGTGACCATGCTAATGGGGGGAATCGGAATAGGTCACTTCTCAAATTCTTAAGGTGACCAGACGTCCCGCTTTGGGCTGGACGGTCCCAATTTTTAACAATTTTTCCCACGTCCCGCAGCATTTTAAAAAAGGCCTGATTTTTGCAAAGAATGCACGACAAGCTAGGGTATACGGTTTTCGGCTGCCATGTGGCTATTTCGTCAGGATATGAGTTTTAGCAATGGTGTCGCGCTTTACCAATGGTAAAATCTGGTCACTTTACCAAAGCTCCTTCTTGCCTTGGGGACTTTGCAGCATGTTTCCCTTCGCCCTAGATTGTTACAAGACTGGATATTTCCTGTAGGTCAGGATTTGGCGCAAAGTGACCTCCAAAACCAAGCTGTGCCTGATCCCCCAACCAAAGCTGCTCCGCCGCCTCCTGCTGGCAGGCACTCTCCTCAGGTTAGGCTGCTTTGTTTCCTGTCCTTTTTTGACATTCCAGAAGAGTAGGAACCTTGTTGATCTTGTGGGTTTATATAATCTGAGGACTTAGATTAACCCCTGGGGGAAAATACCTCACAGTAGACACTCGTTAATATTTGTTGACTAAATAACTCTCATGATAGGTTGATTTGGAGGAAGAATAACTTCAGTAATATATGCCTTAAGGTTTTGTGTGACGTGACGTTAACTACCGCTCCCCGCTAGCCGCACACAGGGCTACTTCTTTCCTGCTGTGGCTCTTCTTCCCATAGGCGAGCCTCCCCCTGAAGACCCCTCCCAACACTCTTGCCCTGACTAAGTCCGACACATCCAGGCGACTCCAGACAAGGTTTGATGCCTTGCTGACATGGCCAAAATACCCCGCACTGTTCTGCACATTACTTTTGACACTTGTCATTTAACTGGTTATTTGTAATAACGCTTCATAAATAAATAAAAACACAGGAAGCTTTTGTTTTTCAGATGTGCGTGTAAGCTCCACACTACAGGTTTGATTCCTCCAGCAGGAAATGTGACACTAAGTGGACTGGTTATGAATCATGTTTGTCGAACACGGGAAAAACAAAGCCGCCTAGTCTGCATCCAGAGGGAGTTTCTTCAGTTGCTCTGCTCTACTTGGAAGCCCTGTCTTGGACTAAGTACCAGAAGTACAGCCAGAGAAGTACAGCTGGAACGCTCTTTCGAGGCCAGGGAGATGAGACTTCTCACGGACTCTGGACAGGCCAGGAGAGATCAGTCCTTGGAAAAGGACAACATGCTTAGCAAAGCAGAGGGACAGCACCGAAGAGGAAGGCCATTGACAAGACCGATTGGCGCAGTAGCCCATAAGAATGGCTGTAAGGATGGCGCAGGACCGGGCAGTGTTTTGCTCTGTTGTACATGAGCGTGAGAAGACACAAAACCAACTTGACGGCATCTAACAACAACAACATCATCAACTCCAGGAACAGTATGAACCTCTTCCCTTCCTACCTTCATCAGACCCAGAGCAAATGACATTGGTCTTGGACACAGTTCCTTGTGCCTGCTCTAGCCCAACCAGAATGACTAGAATTTCCTGGTCCTGTGTCTGGTTAGCGTGGTTAAGGAGGCCAAGCAGAAAGATGGTTCCTGGTTCCTGTGCCCCAGGAGGAAGCTCAGATCAGTGTGAAGCCCGGGGGCTGGAGGAAATACAGACTCCGCTTGAGCCAGGGACCCGGAGAGAATGTAGCCTCCCACTCGCAGGGCATCCTGTGCTATGTTGTTAGGTGTCGTTGCTGTCGCTGCTATTGTATGTCCTTAAATACCAAGCTTGAGACAGGCACTCATTTAATTAGTGCCTAAACTATAGCTGATCGACTCAAGGTATTATTCATGTGGTACAATGATGTGCATTTTAACGTGAGGCACAGCACTGTGCCTTCTCATCTTCCTGAGGATTTGTCATCATCGGGTTGCAAAGGTTGGCTGGTCTCCGGAGGCTGTGGTCGAGTGACATTTCTAATGTGGCTCTTCTACCCAAGTCTCTGGAAGTCCCACCAAGTGATCGGGTGGGACTATGGAAACAGGCATATGCAACATGAAAAGAGGGGGCTGGTCAGTTTTTGTTACCACGCACCAGGTCATCTTTGAGGTCGAGAGGCAAGAAAGCCCGAGAACCATGGGAGGAGGCATTTGAGACCTCTGTCTGAAGTGGCGGAGGCTGCTGGACCGGCGGCCTCACTGACAGTGGCACAGAGACTCAGAGAAGCAGTGCAGAGAGTGTGAGGAACCTTCTCCTTCTCTGGCCGGAGACTGTGGAGCTATAGGACACAGTGACAGGCAGGATGGCTTTGTAGCCCGTGCATGCTAACGCCAAGAGATGACATGGCTGAGAGCCGAAGAACTGGAGCGAGAGACTCGGCGGCTGGCGGAGGAGACCCATGGCTGTAGCATGACTGCTTGCTGATCCCGACTTGTGACCACCTATTGACTTCCCTAACACACGCACGCACGCACGCACCTTAACTGGGAGCATTTTCTGTTGAGTTCTGTGTGGTCATTGCAAAGATTTCTAGAACCCGGCATAGATGTATAATAGTGTGGGAGGAACGGCGCCAGAATAGGTGAAGAAGGAGAGACCATGGAGGCTGGTCAGACCCCTGCCTCATAGCAATGGGGAAGCCAGGAGGTCAGATCAGGCCCTCTACTGCTGCTCATTGCCGAGATAAACCCATGGGCTCCCCGGTCTAGTCTCCCCCACTCCGGACTGTGCCCCAACTGTCTGATGAGCCCTTGGAGTGTCTAAGAAGAGACATGTACATGTATAGAAGTGTGGGCCATTTTACAGGGAGAGAGATGCCCTCCTTTCACATGCAAACTAAGGGAGCCACACTGGGGAGACTGCAGGCTTCCTTTTAGGTCCACTTCCTTGTACAAAACATATCTTCACACAGAAGCGAAAGTCTTAGACCTTATTTCTCAGCAACCAGAAAAGGAATTTGGCCCCAGCAAAACGGAAACAACTGTTGTGGATGATTGGCAACTCCTTCTCCTCTACAACCAATCCGAACTCGCTGCCATCGAGTCCGCGCGAACTCATAGCAACCCTTTTGGACAGGGTAGAACTGCCCCTGTGAGCTTCTGCACTGTAAGTCTTTACAGGAGTCGAAAGCCCCTGCCCATGCTCAACTGACTCCCCATGCTGACCTCACAGGGCCAGCCAGGCAGGAGCATCTTACTGGGGCAGCCTGCCTGCACATTTCTAGAGTGGGGAGGGGGGACCTTCCTTGCTGTTGTCCCTTGACACCCCTCTGCCCTCTCCCTAAGGAGGTCCTGCCACTGCCTGGCTGTTGGGGCTCAGTAGGTGCCTGGGGCCTTGTCCTGGGGTGTTGGGATGGTGTGAGTTCCAGCTTGGGGTGGGGGTGGGGGCGGTTCTGCTGTGAGCAGCCTTGATTCCTGGACAGCTGTGGAGGGGGGTGGGCAGGCAGGCAGTTTATCATTCTTAGTTCGGATATTGTGATGTGAGGGCACCTGATCTTGTGAATAAAGTGGACACTTCCTGGTGAAAAAAAAAAATTCAGGGGGAAGCTATCAGTACAGAAAGAATTTGACTCACACTTCGGTATTAGGAATCCCATACATTTATATTCTAATGGTTGCTACCAGGGAAGAACCTGCATTGCATAACCCAGAAAACTTTCTTGATGGTCGAATTTGGAGCCAGAGTTAGGACTAGAGCTTATGTGATGTCACCGAATCATTCCACCCTCAAAAAGAAGAAAAACCACATCCCCTATTTAGGCGCTAGATATGTGTCTTCTCTTTAATACAAGACCACCTGGTAAGCAGAATATTTTAAATCACTAGAAAAGGACTGCCAAACTTACATATCTCACATAATTTAAAAAGTAAATCAATGAAAGTATGCGCGTAGAATAACCAAAGTAATTCTGTTCCTAGCCTATTACAGATAAGAATAAAGGCAAAGTCAAAAATTATTTCTGTTGGCCTAAATTCAGCTCTCAATATTTCCTAGGATAATTAGGGGTGAGATGCACACCCCCAAAAGATGAGAGGCACAAGTTCTTAGTTTCAATCATTGCTGATAAGGCTCTAGACAAACTGTTGACCACTTGTGTCAGAAATTCAAATTAGGTAGTGTGTGTCAAGTAGTCTAAGAAGGAAACACCAGCTTCTTTATAGTTTTTATGGGGGAAAAATATAAAATACAGATCTAAAGAATATTTTTGAAATATAATAGAGAAAAATTATTTAAACCCTAGGAATTAGAGTTGTCATGGTCAAAGCTTTATTTCATAAGTCTGCTTCACATGCAACAGACTTCATGATTGTGCACATTTCTTGCTATTGCTTCAGGCAAGACAACGTTTCCTAACTCTAAGCGCCAAATCAACCTTGTAAAGGGCAGGTGCAATCGGAGGGTGGCGGATTTTGAATGATTCTGTTAACATCATACTTACGCCGTGGTGGTCTGCACGTCGTGCCAGCTCTTGCTGAAGTTCTGTTTGAGTTCATTCATGAGGCTCATGCCGAGTTTTTGTTTGATCTCAACCAGACTCCTTTCTTTTGCAGATAAAACTTGTCGTAAAGTTGTGATTTCGTCCTCTAGCTGCAGGTAGGAGAGAAAATGAGGGGGGTGGGGGGGAAAGGTCAGACAGTAGAAAAGTACGAAAGCTCTTGGGACTGCAAAGCAGTCATTTGGGTGCTCTTGTTTACACAGTTCTTCTCTGCTCACTAAAGCCTGGTTCAGAGCCATCATGCATTGAGCTGGTACCCACAAGGCCAGCTGGAGAAAGAAGAGGCTTTCTACCGGCTTTTCCGCGATGTTTCCGTGCTGTGGACCGATAAGGGCAGGGCTACCTTGCCCTATAGGATCATTAGGAGTCAGCATCCACTCAATGGCAGTGAGTTTCTGCTCGGCTGAACCGAACACAAAGATGTCATCTACTTTAATACTTAAAAATAAAAATAGATTTATTGGCTCTAAGACGATATAAGTATTTGATGTTCCTGGAGAAAATTCAGGTGGCATGGAAAATACAAAGAAGGAAATAATCCCTTTTCATTTGTGATACAAATAGGCAACACTTATTTCTTGGCTAACCTTACAGCCATCTTCTAAAGTTGGATAGAGATTTCATTTTTTTAACAAAAATTGGTTTTGTGCTACATGCCTTAGTTTATAAATAACTTCTTTTCAATCATCCATGTGTCCTAGGAGTTTCCCTATATCAAGAAAAATAATCATACATCCATTTAATGACTAACCTGTGAGCACTTGTGATTATATGAATATAGACTAATACACTTGTTAGTTGTAAATTGATAGTGGTTAGAGTTTTCTATTCTGCAATAGAATAGATAAGATGCAATAAACATTCGATTTTGCTTTCTTGGAAATGCTCTGATTACCCCTGTCAAAGTCTACAAGTGAAAGAAAATGCACATTTTTAAAAGTTTTTGAAGTATACTGTCCAAACCCGTTATAGAATATATGCAACAACTTATAGCTCCATAACAATTTTTGAAAATTCATCACATCTTCAGTGTCAGTGAGTGCTGTGGTAATTTTTCTTTGCTCACTTTATAAAGATCGCAAATCACTTTTTATTCGACTTGCATTTTGATTGCCTCTGAGGATCAATAATTTTTTCATAGTTTTAAATGAATTTAAATAAAATTATTTTAATTTGTTGTTTCTGTCATTGAGAATATATCCATTGATAACATTCTTCAAGTTGTGCAACCACTTTAACCATCCTTATCTGAGTGAATCACTGTCCCCTAAGTTTCCTATCTAACTTTTGAGTTACTGTTATCAAACTGATCTCATTTGGTAGATCTTATAAGAGCATAGGAGGATAAGTCACAGAAGGATTGCTACGGAAGCACAGAAACCTTTGTTCAGCAGAAAGGATCAGAATGTGAAACGACTGTCTCTCTATTCTCTATCTAGGTGCATACACTTCTGAAGACAGTGTTGCCATTGCTTTCACCCTTTTCTGAAGAATTCTGTGCTCCCCGATATACCTCACATCAAAAAGGCACGTTGGCAGCCTCAAAGGACTCAAGTCATGCTCCTTTTCAATCTTTGGGAAGCAAAAATAACTTTGAGAGGGCAAGATCAGAGCTGTAAGGTAGATGGGGTACGGCTTCCCAAGAACATTCTCATATGAGAATTCGAAGACTGAGCGAGTACATGGTCGTGATGGGAAAAAATTCCCTGGTGCAACTTTCATGGTCCTTCTCACCCCTGTAGATTTCATTTTCCTAAATCGTCTTCATATAAGCCCCTGGGATCGTCCTGTGCCTTTTGAGAAACTCTATCAAGATGACCCCTTTGTCAAGAAACGAAAGGAAACAAACACACTGTTACCATAACCTGGTGAGCTAACCTCTCTGCCTTGAATGTATTGATGTGGTCTTCCAACCTTGAGCCACCTAAAAACGTGTGGTGCCCTGAAAACCTGTAACATTATTCTCATCAACTTAGTGCAAAGCTTCCATGACTTGGGAAGATGCCAACTTGAGTTTTGCTAAAAATGTCTGTATTAACCCTGGCCTCAAACTTGTTTTCTCCACACTATACATTTTTTGAAGTCACCCAATATGACTAATACACATGTATTACTGAGAAGGCTTGTTTGAAAACTGATGACAAAGGCACGTGCAAGCACATTTTGTTGGGCGTCGCTCTGTGCATGTATGTACAGGCCCCCCAGCAGCAATATGTTTTGATTTATTCTGAGCATGCTCAAGGCAGACACATGTTACTAGTCACCCTAATCTACTGGGACTTTAAAAAGACATCCATGGATATACTTCTTAAGTCTAAAATTTGAAGGTTATCTCAGAACAAGAGCTTCTGGGGTTTCTCCAGTCTCCACAACTCCAGGATTCCATGAGGATTTTACATTCTGGTTTGTGTTTTCCCCTCGTCATCTCTATTCTTCTATAGAATCTTTCATCAAAATGTCAGCAAAGGTAACCAGGCACCATCTAGTTCTCCTGCTACCATGGCAAAGGAGGTAGTTCCTGGCTTTGAATTTCTTTTTAATTTCTTATTGATGACCCTTGACTATGTTTTGGATATGAGTCTTTTTTTAAAAAACAAGACATAGTAATGATGTGAGTTCTTTGTCATTGCAGCTGCAAGAATTTCCCTTAGTTTGGCAAATGATATATTTTTCCAGGTAGAAGTTTTAAAAGGGGTCATAGTCCCACCAAGAAACATGACGTCCCTCACTGACCCATAGCGCTATGGGGCACAGCACTGGGGACACAGTGCAGAATCTGTGCCTGATCTGACCCCACCACACTGGAGCAAAACGCTAAGGATGTGCAACAGAGCAGCAAGAGGAGCAAAGCAATGAAGTCCCTGGGGAATACCAAAAATAGACTTAGTGTCCAGGGTGTGGCACCCCATCAGACTCGATCGGAAAACACTCCTGAGGGTCAACAAACAGACCTGGAACTATTTATATGATTTTCTTTTTTTGTTGTTGGTTTGTTGTTGTTGCTGTTGTTTTGGTTTCTTCTGTTGTCTTGCTCTGTCTTGTTTTGTGCTTATTATTGTCTCTGCATGTCTATCAAGATAAGATAGTTGGGATAAACAATCCAGAGGAGAAAACAATGGGACCTACGGTTCCAGGGGGACATGAAAGAGGGGGAGGTGGGGGAGGCAAAGGGGGCGTCAACCAACCCAGGAACAAGGAAACAACAAGTGATCTAAAATTGATGGTGAGGATGGTATAGGATGCCTGGTGGGGCTTGATCAAGAGCAATGTAGCCAAGAGGAATCACCAAAACCCAAATGAAGGGCGAATATGATAGTGGGACAAGAGGAAAGTTAAAGGAAGTAGAGGAAAGAATGAGGAGGCAAAGGACATTTATGAGGTCTAAATACAGGCATATACATATGTAAATATAATTATATATAATGACAGGGAAATAGATCTATGTGCACATATTTATTTGTTAAGTATTAAGGTAGCAGATGGATATTGGGCCTCTACTCAAGTACTCCCTCGTTGATCAAGAGTACTTTTCTAATAACCCAGCGTTCTGTGATACTCACCTTCCCAACATGATCACTGAAAACAAAATAGGTGCATTAGCAAATGTGGTGAAGAAAGCTGATGCTGCCCACCTATCAACAGATATAGTGTCTGGGGTCTTAAAGCCTTGAAGATAAACAAGCGGCTGTCTAGCTGGAAGGCAACATAGTCCGCATGGAAGAAGCACACCAGCCTGTGTGATCGTGAGGTCTCGGTGGGATTAGGTATCAGGCATCAAAGACTCAGAACAAAAATCATATCAGTGTGAATGAGGGGAAGTGTGGAGTGGAGACCCCAAAGCCCATCTGTGGACAACTGGACATTACTTTACAAAGGGTCACAAGGAAGAGACGAGCTAGTCTCTTCAGTGCAGTATAGCACTGACGAAGCATACAACTTTCCTCTAATTCTTTAAGGCTTCCCCCTCCCCGTTATCGTGACCTCAATTTTACCTTACAAATCAGGGTAGAACAGAGCATGTACACAGGTACAGATAAGAGCTGGAAACACATGGAATCCAGGACCCCTCAGGACCGATAATGAGAGTAGCGATACCAAGAGAGTATGGGGAAGGTGGGGGGGAGAAGTGATCTACATATAACCTTCTCCCAGGGGTACAGATAACAGAAAAGTGGGTAAAAGGAGACATCAATCAGTGTAAGACATGGAAACAAAAATTATAAATTATCAAGGGTTCATGAGGGAGGGAGGGTGGGGCAGGGGAGAAATGAGCTGATACCAAGGGCTGAAGTAGAAAGAAAAAGGTTTGAAAATGGTGATGGCAACATATGTACAAATGTGCTAGACACCATGGATGTATGTATGGATTGTGGTAAGAGCTGTACGAGTCCCCAATAAAATGATTTTTTAAAAGGGGGGGGGCATGGTTCGGAAACATCTGGTAGAGATGGATCTCTGAGTGTGTTATAACAGACCAAAATTTCCATATCTTAAGAAGGTGGCACAGAACTACTCTCTGTGAAATACCATGGTTTCTCTAGCTAATTTAAGTGTTTCTTAGTATCAGGGAGCATAGCATGCCCATGGTCAATGTATCCTAATTGAATTAGAGAAAAAAATAGGAGGGAAAAAAAGAGAGAAAAAGAAGAAAAGTCTTATATCCTAAATACAAATCAACAGTCTCACAAGGTATTAATCAAACAAGGAGCAAACTCCAAATGCTTGGTTGGGTGGGGAGGTAGGTTTGTGTACCTGTACTACTCAGGCTGTACTACCTGAGAGATGAACAATACACATAAAATAATACAGATTTTATGGGTCCCTAAGAAATTTTCAAATCATATGATTTCCAACTGAGATTCAACATTGGACATTTAACTTCCTGAAATATATTGCTTACGTATATACTCGAAATGAACTCCTTAAAATATGCAAATGCAAGTGCATATTCATCCCACACATCTTCATTATATTTGCTTCCTAACACGGGATGAGTTCCCTTTATCAGACAGAAGGTTCTATATCAGGATGAGAAATTACACATAAATGGAGTCATTTCAAAGATCCTCTTCATAGGCCAAGTTCAGAGATAATGAATATTGATGTCATGGTCACAAAATGAAAGTGCTCAAAGGATCATAAACATTCTAATAAATGTGCCCTCCCATTCACAGATGAAGTTGCTTGATGGAAGAGCTGAGACTGTAATCCTATTTGGGGCTTTTTTGTTTGTTTTTTACAGTAGTCCCCATTTATCCATGAGTGATACATTCCAAGACCCCCAGAGAATGCCTGAAATTGCAGATAATGCCCAACTCTCTATATACTTTGTTTATCCCAAAATACACTCAGACATACATGATACAGTGTGATTTACAAATTAGCAGAGTACAGAGGAACAACAAAAACTAATAGTAAAATAAGAATTTTTAGGTAAGACAGGGTAACTTGAACAGAAAGCAGTTCAATACCACAACAATAGATCTAAGAACCGAGAGAGCTACTAAGTGACCAAGGGACAGTTAATATGATATGTACTGCATGGAAACACTAGACAAAAGGATTTACTTGGACCAGGGACCATTCAAAAAAAGCCTGTGGACAGTTGAGACAGAAATGCTGAGCCATCTAAAAGATGTCCTGCTTCTTCTTAAGGCCAGCGATGGCGGTCCTGAGTTGAGTCTCTGACTATAATTACATCCTAGCACTTGTAGTAATCAGAATATATCTGTAACCTGAAAGGACCCATGCATGCTCAGGTGTCTGTGTGTGAAAGAGTGGGGAAAGCAAACTTCACGTGCTGCTGGAAGTCCCCCAACATGACTTTTAGCAAGATCCAGTAGTTCCTCACAACTCACGAGCACACATACAAAGTGGGGCATGAGTACTAATGAATTCTAAATGAGGCAAACATGAATCCAACAACTTGAACACAGTAATAAGGAGTCTAGCGATACCTTCCGAAGTTGGGCTGAAAAAGCCTAAGCAATGAGATGAACTAGAAGCTTATCAATGTGGTCTATGAAAGAGTAAGTTCTGAAAACATGGCTAGATTTTCAGAGTCATTAGAGAATCATAAAGACTTTATATCTTAATCGATTATAAAAGTAATTCATGTTCGATATTTAGAGAGTAAGCATACACAAGCCAAGCACACACATAGAAATACACATGCATATAAATATGCAAATGCTTAAATATTGTTAGTGGCTATCATGTCTTTTCCGACTCACAGTGACCCTGAGTCTCTGCACAAGTGTTCCTATAGCTGAGCCCATTGATGCAGCTACTGTCCGTCCATCTTCCTGAGGACCTTCCTCTTTGCCGCTGCGCCTCCCCTTTACCAAACACGAGGTCCTTCTCCGGGGCCTGGTCTCTCCTGCCAATATGTCCACAGTATGTGAGACGAAGTCTCATCGTCCTTGCAGCTAAGGAACGCTCTGGCCGGTACTCCTTCTAAGCCAGGTCGGTGTATATAGACCTCAATTATCCCATAACCCATATAAATAAAAACGTTTTAGTAGTCTGTCTGCTACAAATGCTGTCCCCGAACTTAAGCTAGGCTATAAAGCGGGAGGAATTAAACAGTGGAGAGCATAACCTTTGGCCGCTAAAATTGACATGAATAGGTCATGAGGCACAATCAAGGGACATCAAGGTCAATTAGCACAACATAGTCCTCAAAGAATTAAAGACACCGAGAAGCAATTAATCCAAAGGACTAATGAAACACACGAATCTCTACCGCCACCAGCGGAGATCAGATGGTACCATGCTGCCACTACTGACCATCCTGAAAGGTCCATGCACAGAGGGAGAGAAAAATGTGGAACGAAACTCAAAATCATAAAAAGATCAGGTATCTGGCCAGAGACAGAGTGACCAAGACTATGACCCCTAGTGACCTTCCAAACCTAGACCTGAACTCACTCTCATAGGGGCTCAACTCACAGCCACATAACAGACAGAACCATAAGGTGCTCAGGTGTCTGTGGAAGCACACCTTCCTTAGAACCATCATGGAAGTACATCTTCAACCAGGTGGGGTCAAAAGGACAATATTTTCCCCGGGGACAATGTACAGGAGACAGAGTGAAGGACGGCAACAGCAAACACAGGGGAGAGGCAGTGGGATGAGGGCGGTTACACCGTGGGGATAGCAATCAACAGCATGAAACAAAACGTGCCTGAATGTTGAAGGGAAAATTGATATGCTCCGTCCACCTTCGCCCAAATGAAAAGACAAAGTTCTGAGAAAAGAAAATATTTACGTTTAATTCTGATGCTGGCCCACGCATGCTGGCTTCTGTAGTCAATCTGAAGTGAACCGTGCGGTTCTAGTTCACTGACCACAGACTATCAGAGCTACAGAACCAGTCTATTTGATTTGAGGCACTGTGTTTATTGAAATAATTTCAGGTTGTACCAGAGGAGCGAGCTGCTTGTTTATGTTATAATGAAGTTTTCTTTGAAATCATCTGAACCGCCTTTACTATGATTACAAACCAGTTCCCATCGAGTTGATTTCGACTCCCTGTGACCCCATGTGCTCCACAGGATTTTGGATGCCTCCTTTGTCAGAAGAATATCGCCAGAATTTTCTTTCCTGGGCCCTCTGTGTAGACTGCAACCCTCAAGCGCTTTGGTGAATGACTGAGTGCATTAACCATTTGAGCCACGCAAGGAATTCAATGTTCTGTTCTGTCATCAAAAATGCTTGTAAGAATATTGGCATTTCTGTGTGGTTCAAACATGAATGTGCTCAGCCTCTAACCCCAAATTGGAGCTTTGAGTCTACCCAGAGACTTTTGGAAAGAAAGTTCCGGTGATCCACTCCCCTAAACCATCCACCGAAACCCGTGTGTTGCACAGTTCTAGACAGACCCTCATGGTAATGCCATTTTGGCTCATGGGCTATTGAAAGAGAACAGAATCACCAGTCGGGTGATCAGAATGCTAGCCCATCAACATTCCGGAGCAAGCACAGCAGTGAGTGTTAGGGGGGCTCTAGCCACCGCCTCAGGCTGTAGGAAAGCTGGTCCCACCTCCAACAGGATCTCCTCATCTACAGCCGGGACAAAGAAGGCAGAGGAAATGTTGACCTCTGCCTGCCAGCCCTACTGCTTGGTGCTACAAGTGGCTCCTACAAAGTAGAGGTGTCTCCATTCAGTATTTAAGGACTAGTGCATCTTGGAAAACAAAAATCGCTTGCACAAAGTCACAATCATGATGAACTCCGGCCCACCCCCAGCCCCCACCCCCTCCAGTGAGTACACGCGACCTCAGGAGGCCTGAAGGAATCCTGGCTTTTCCCTGGCCCCCCGAGCTTTCATCTTCTTGCAAGAGAGTACACACAAGTTAATAGTTGCTTTGATGGCTGACTTTTTCATGAAAAGATAAACTACTTTTGTTCTAGGTTGCCGAGCTAAAACAAACAGGGCTATGAAAAGGAGCTGGCACCTGTGCTGTCGTCTTGAACGGATTCCATCAGGTTGGTAAGTGATTTCTTAACCCCATCGTGGTGCTGGTGCTAGAAACACAGGGGTGCCTCTTAGAAGTAAATGATCAGTGTTGCAGAAGCCGTAGGACTCTCCACTTCCCCACCGCAATCAACGAGTGGTGGACAACTGTTGCTCTCCATTACCGGGGAGTCGTTTCCAACTCACCCTGATCTCTGTGTGCAGAACAGAGCTGCTCCCTGGGCGTCCAAGGCCATGACCTCTCCGAAGCACATCACTAAGCTTGTCTGCCCAGGGCCTCTGGGCGGGTTTGGGATGCCAGTTTTTTGCTAGCAATCAACCCCTTAACCCATGTGCAACACCCAGAAACCATGAACAATTAGCATTACGAGTCTAACTCCTGCACAGTTATTAAATGAAAGGCACATTCAATTATCAAACTCTGAATAACTCTCAAGATAGAAATATTAACCACAAAAAGATTAATAACCAATGACAAACCAATTTGCTCTGTAAACTTTCACCCAAGTCACAATTAAAAAAAAAAAATTACTCACACCACTGGTCCTTAAGGGATCATCCACCCTGGATTCCCTGTGTTTCCAGTTCCTATCTGTACCAGTGTACATCCTCTGGTCCAGCCAGACTTGCAAGGTAGAATTCGGAGAGTGGGTTGGAAAGAGGGAACCTATTATAAGGAACTATATGTGACCCCCTCCGTGGGGAACGGACAACAGAAAAGTGGGTGAAGGGAGATGTCGGACAGGGAAAGATATGACAAAATAATAATTTATAAATTATCAAGAGCTCATGAGGGAGAGGGGAGCAGAAGGAGGGGAAAAATGAGGAGCTGATGCCAGGGCCTTAAGTGGAGAGGAAATGTTTTGAGAATGATGAGGACAATGAATGTGCTTTACACAATTGATGTATGTATGGATTGTGTTAAGAGTTGTATGAGCCCCTAATAAAATGATTTAAAAATAAATAAATAAAAGATCACTCGCCATACCTGAGCTAATTCCGCCTTAAGTTCTTCTTTCTCCTCCTCCGACAGCATGCTAGAGAAGTTGGCACCAGCTACTGCATCTTCGTCTCTTCCCTGTAGTGGTTCGGCCTCCAGCAAACCTGGAGACAAGATTGAGAAAGTATAAAGCTCCTTTATTTTAACGAATTCAACCAATTTTTCTCTCCATCGTTGTCGGAAGCACTAAACACTGATTGAGCCTCCCACTGATAACAGCTAAACCGTGGGGGGAGGGGGGGTGCATACCTCTTTAAATGAGTGATGAGCCGCCCGAAAAGGAAGGAGCAAGAAAATGGAAACACAAATAAAGCAAGGGTGGAAAGCCAGACACGGAAACGAAGCTGACGCTTCCCATGGTCTACATTCGCCAAACAAGTCCCAGCTTCGGTTTTCACAGTCTCGTGGGGAGCTAGGGGCAGAGGTCACTCAGGGAGAAAAGGTCCATATGAGACACCCTACTACATAAATGTTGGTCCCCATGGGGATACCCTTTCACCCCCCACTGGCATCTGCAGAGCAAATTGCCTGCCTTGAAACGCAGCACAGAATGGAAAGGGGGAAATGTCCTCCTCTGAGAATTCATAACCTGAGCGGACGGTGTGAATGCTTGTAACTTGTCTGTGCATTCCTGGGTGGTCCAAACACTCTCAAGAGAAGATTGTAAATATTCAAGTGTTTGACCCTTTTAGATGTGGGACTGTGTAACCTGCAGACAGGGAGCGTGGAGCAGGTAGAGTTGTGAGCAAACATCACGGACAAATTGATGTTGGACAGGTGGAGAGATGGGCATGCCTGGGCCCTGCATGAAATTGTACCACCCACTAGCCCTGGAGTAGCTCTGCTTCTGTAAATGAAGTCGATCTGTAGTAAAATCCTTTAGAATCTGCCATTCACAAAGGCATATATTCTCTGGAGAACCCGGAAAAAGATCCACACAGACATAGAAAATTCATTTATGAGATGACTTATGACAGGACTGGCATGTCTACGTTTATCGATAAAGGAAAGTCTTTTAATAAATTGTTGTAGAACAAATAGTTATACATAGAGGAAATGTAAACTCAGACCTTCACACTAGTGTCAGAACTTTTAGTAGAAAATATCAGAGTTTATATTTATTTAACTTTGGATTGGAAGACATTTTTTAACTCAGACATAAAAGGGCCAAACTAGGGAAGAAGAAAAAATAGATAAATTGAAGAATTTCTTTAATCAAAAATACTATCTGGAAAATGAAAAGATAAGGGTCCAAATGGAAGAAAGGATATGACGCTGCATATCCTAGGATACGCAGATGCTCTACAAGTCAATTTCACAAAACAGGAATAAAACCCAAAGATAAATGGACAAAAATAAACTAAAATCCGCAGAGCCTTTAGAGGGAGGAATAACAGAGATACCTAAGATGCTCAGCTTCATTGATATTCACAGAAATACAAAGTAAACCACTTCACACATACTGAATGAAGAAAAATTTAAAAGTCTGAACTCACTCAGTGCTGGTGAATTTGTAAAGAATGAAAGCCCCTATATGCTGCAGTTGACAGCATAAATGTTCAACACTATCTAGCAAAGCTGAACATGAACACACCCAACAGCCCAATGATCCCCCTGTGGATGCCCCCACTCATGCCCAAGAAGCTCCTGTATAGCAACACCACATGCCATTCATAAGAACTTCCATGGTAGTAAAAACGGTACATCATACTAAAGGTTAGAAATAGGGGAACGCATGAGTAAACTATGGACTGTTTACACAGTGAGGAAAATAAACAGCAGAACCAATAAAACAACAACTAATTCATTCCTTCCAACAACCTAAGGAACAAGCTACTGAGTGGAAAACCCATGTCACAGGTAAAGTAATAGAAAACCCTCCCATTCACATGAAGTCCAAGCTTAAAAAGCTGTTAGTTACAATGAAATTATTTAGTAAAAGCATAAAGGAAAGGAAGGAAAGGTAAAAATTCTGAAGTATGGCTTTCCCTCAGGAGGGAGGGAGAGAGAAGAGCGAGGATGTGAGGGGGTGTCATCGTTGCTCGGTTGACGGCTCCCTGGACCTTCATACTTATTTTGTAGGACTGGCATCAACTTGATGTCCTTGGGTGGGGTGTGAGGGTTTACAATGTTGCTAGCTGTCTGAGTTTACTCCAAACCACGGTGATCTCATAAATGAGCGACCAACCAGGCCTGTGCCAATGGCAGGCCAGAGCACTATCCGGGACAATATTCTATTGTCATTCATAGTTTCCACTGGCTTAGTTTTGGAACTCGATTGCTAGGCCTTTCTTCCTAGTCTGTCTTACTCTGGACGCTCCACTGAAACCTGTTGCCATGAATGACTCCGCTTCCCAGTTTGACTGACAGCTGTGGAAATACAACTACCCATTATTCATCGAAGTTGATATTAATGATTTTGTTATCCGTTGCTATCGAGCTGGTATGTATATTGCACACATGTATCAATAAAGCATCTACTGCATAACAATAATCTTGATTTATCTGACATGATATCATGAACAACTTCCATGTCGAACATCATATACAGTGATACCTCCATTATCGAACTCAATTTATTCCAAAGTCATGTTCGAACACTGGAAAGTTCAAGAACTAAACATATTTTTCTCATAAGAACTCATGGAAAACCAAATAACTGGTTCTGTGGGCCCAAAATTACACTTACAAAATTCATTTTTCCAGGACTAAAAGACAAAGTTAACAGTCCTAGTTTGTGGAAATACCTCCTAAAACATCTAAACACAAGAAGTACATTACAGTAAATAAAATTAAATAATATGACATTTTATGCAAGTAAAGCGCACAAAAAGCACAATGACGAATGTTTTAAAAACATTAACACGAGTACTATACATGTTGTCCAAGTGAGTGTGGCCCTGTGTGTGTGTGCGTCAGAACGGACGTCCGACCCACTCGGGGCCGTGCAGGTTTCTTCCAAGTTGGATTTTTGGCTCAACTACGGAGCAAAGTTGCAAAGACCAAGCAGATACTTTCAGGACTATGCTAGTTGAGCAGTGGAAATTTTGAGCTTGAAGCCGTTCACCAAGGAAAGTATCGCTCGATCTACATTTATATGTGTTGTCTTTACACAGTATTTAATTTGTCATTCATAAGATGCTGTTTGTGGGGATTCTCCAGTGAATAGCTAGTAGATAAATCATTAGGCGAAATCTTGGTTAATTTTACACTGAATTATTGAGTCTAAGAACATGGATATTTTCAATCTACTGCCAAATTATCTCCCAGGAAGTCTGTACTGGTTTTATGCTACTAGTAACAATGTATAAATTTATCTCAATGCTCGTTGTACCACAAAATAATCAGGTTTAAGGGGAAAACACTGTCATTCATTTCTACTAACACATATTTAAGTTGATATGCGGCCAGTCTGATTTTAGTCAACGTCCCAGGTACAAGATAACCATGTGAACCAGAATTCAGCAGCAATTGCAGATGCAGGTGTCAGAGATGGTCCCTAAATACGCTGCGCTCTGCTCGGGGGTGTCAGGAGAAAGCTTTCAAGGGAACCTACGAGACTTGGTCTCTTCCCCAACCGGCCCTTCTAGCAGCGTAAAGGACCTTGCTCAAGCTGAGCTGGAAGTCAGACGCTCACCCTGCCCGTCTTGACAATGTGAGGAGGGAACAAGGAACCGTGACAGACACAGACTTTTCAAGTCCTCAAGCATCTTTAGTATCGTCCAGTTTTCTAGGAAGACTATACACTAAATACGTATTTTAACAGATAATACATTAATTTAATGAAATATAAACCCCATAACCCAGAAGGTAGTGCCCACTTTTCAGAGCGAGGTACATACGTCTTACAAAGTGAGATCTTTATGCCAGTCTGCATCTCTGGCCCATCACACATCCATGGAAGTCTCTCGAGGCTCACACCAAAAGGTCATCCATGCATGAAATCTGCCTGGAGACCTGGGTGCTGGACGATGTCATCAAGGTTTAATCAGGCTGGTTCCCTTCAGCACTCACCTTGAAATTAAATGTCTGTTTCTCATCTTATTTTTTTACGTGGGCATCTATATCCCTGCGGTATCCTGTGCTAGTGAGTGATCGCTGAGCCGCACTGTTCAGAACAGGATGCCATGCAAAGAAAGACATATGAAAGCAAATCCTTTTGTTTTCAATAAAAGATGTTCACTTCCCAGGGTTAGGGAAGCAGCAAGCAGATTATAAAGACAAAAGATCATTTCAGAATCAAGGTTGGAAAAGGAGTGAGATAAAATACAAAAGTTAATAACTAGTAAAACAATCAGAATTCAGAAAAAAAAAAAAAAGAAGGACCCTCGCTGACATAAGAGTCCATGCTGACTCGTAGCAAGCCTTTAGGACAGGGTAGAACTGCCCATCAGTTTTCAAGACTGTACCTCTTTACTGGAGTAGAAAGCCAGTCTTTTTTTCCTGAGGAGCAGTTGGTGGTTTCAAACTGCTGACCTTGTAGTTAGCAGCCCAACCCATAACCACTGCTGACCTCAAGGTCAACAGTTCAAAACTACCGGGTTCCCAGAAGGAGAAAGATGAGGCTTTCTCCACCCATCAAGAGTTACAGTGTCTGAAACCCACAGAGGCCATTCTACCATGTCCGACTGGATTCTAAAAGTCAGAATCGACTCAAGCAGTGAGAATCAGAACTAGATGCGAGGGGGCGGGGGAAGGCAATAGGTAACAGATTTCCAGTGACAGATGGTAACGTGAAAATGAGTATAAAATTACCTGGCTACCCTGGAAGCAGATATTAGAGAAGATTAAAAACACATATTTAAAAAAAGCAATCCTCGGTGGCCAAAGCCATCAAGAAATCACATTATTTAGCAGGTACTAGGACATTAGAGAGGGGAGCAGTGGTATTTCAGGGGTACATGTGAAGTTCAGCACCAGGTTGTTACTCACAAGAGAACTAGCTTCAATGCCATGTGTTTGTAAGGGTCCAGAGGGAAGATGTGTGCACACATGCACACACACACACACACACACACACACACACACATCCCAGCAGCAGCAGCAAAGAGTTAAAGCACAGTTTGATTGAAGCATAGGATCACATCACAAGAAATGAAACAGC